ACTAATCCACGGGGGTAGGCTACAATAGGCCAATCAGTGGCCGCCGTGCCGAGTGTATCAAGTAGGGGTCCACCCCCCCACTAAGCGAATTAATTGAAAAAAAACAGTGAAAACGTTCTCAACTGTTTTGTTTCGAAGCGTTTATCAACATGCAACTTTAAAATGTACAACATTTTTTTTTGTAATTTATTTCTGAAAATAGCAATGTTTAACCCACAGTAATAAAACGGGATGTTGATAAATGTATAAAGAAAGGCCTACATATACCGTCCCACTTTGATGTGATTACAGTCTCATTTGTACACAATATACAAATAATGCAAAACACTCGTAGACTGCGTTTCTGTTGCGTTCTGTGTTCGTTAATTAAAGAGCAGTACTGCCTAATTGAATTTAGCGTTCTGCCCAGTACTACAATTCAGTCTCATAATCAATCAATAACAAATTTTCATGTGCTGTATGGTACAACTAACTGAATTCATAACACTTTTGTAAACAGATGATTAAACTTTCTGTTGGCAACTACTAACCCAGTTCCTGAATGAATTATATATAGGCCGAATTGCAGAGGATAATTCCAGACATTCAAAGAATTCTTTCTGGGAATTACTTCTGATTCTCTACTCTGTGCAGTTTATGAAACCCAAACATTTATGTCCCTGACTAAAAAAATACAATCCACTGTACTCTATCCTGAGCCATTTCCATCCACACCGCACATTTATATTTGCTTCTTTAAGATCAGTTTTTGCCGGTCACGGTAGCCGAGCTGTCTAAGGCATGTACTGTCTTCGCTCGCTTGGAAACCGGGATCGTGGGTTCGAATCCCACTCAGGGCATGGATGTTTAGTTTGTGTGTGTGCGTTTTTCTGTGTTTGTGTACAGGTAGAGGCCTTGCTACGAGCTGATCACCCGCCCAAGGAGTCCTACCGAACTTGTAAGATCTAGAAAAACAGAAGTGAACGGAGAAGTTCTTGAAGGTAGGCCTAGGCCCACTGGGGCTGTAGTGCCAAGGAAAAAAAAAAGATCAGTTTTTATATTATCTCATGTCTTCCAATTGGTCTTTTTATTCAGGTTTTCGATCCAAAATTTTGTAAGTTATTCATGCCTCATGCTCATTTCATACATCTCCAATTTAACCCGCTTTGCTTTTATTACGCTAATTATATATGGTGAATGCAAGCAATTGGCGGAATGAAGATTGGCAGGGGAAACCGAAGTACTCGGAGAAAACCTGCCCCAGCACCACTTTGTTCACCACAAATCTTACTTGACCAGACCCGGGATCGAACCCGGGCCGCCGCAATGGGCAGCCAGCGACTAACCGCTTGAGCTATGGTGCTGCCTTCAGTTTCCATATCTCTGACGGTGAGTGACCACTTGTGGCCACAGTAACACATTTCCCCCCATCTCTCCTTGTATATACCCTGAAAAATTCCCATTGTGGCTTACTTTTAACCTTAAGACTTAGACAGCAAATTTCTCCTAAATATTTCTAAAAACATACCTTAATACGCGATATCATAACCCACTAGACCACTTTGGTCTACAATTTTAACAGTTCTAACAAGATTCAGTAAGTAAAGACGTGAAATAGAGCAGAAATATCCGTTTCGAAAGAATGAATTCATAGCACCAATAGGAGCTCCTTAGCCGGGAATAGACAGGCGCTTTCGCGTGAGGAGCTGTGTTTATTTGACGACCCATCTTGTAAGCTTAGCAGTCTAGTGTTTTACGTTTGTAGGATGCATAAACTTCGCTTTTTTTTCATTTTCTCCTAACATGAAAGAATTAAAGAACAAAGAATCATTATATATATGTATATATTCAAGTCCTAATACTCCTCGCTGTCGGTAGGGACGTGAATCTAACCACTCACTTCCAGCTAGTGCCGAGATTAAGAAAATGTGGATCTATACATCCACTCCCCCATACGTCTTCATGGCGTAGTGCTTAATTCGCAGAGTCAACTTTCAGTACTCCTTGCTGTGATTACGTGCGCCTTAGTTGCTTTATATTACAGTGTTGAGAATCCCAACCTCTTTGTTAACTAATGATACTCAACAGTCTCCGTGGGCTATAAGTCACCTTAAGCTTCAAAGATGTAAGAAGGTATTCGTTAAAAACAGGATATACAACTGTTACTTCTTGTGATCTTTCGTAACAAGCGATTGGATTGATCTGGCTCAGGGTAGGGACCTTATGAACATGGTAAGGAACCTTCCGGCTCCATAAAATGCTGAGAAGTTCTTGAGTAGCTGCACAAATGGTGGCTTCTCAAGAAGGGCTCAGCTCCGTGAGTGAGTGAGACAACTGTTACTCTTTAACGTGAGAGCGTGCCACCTCACCAAAGTCAGATACTATAGCTAATATTTGGACTGTCAGGTGTACCAACCCCTTTCTTCATCCACTGGAGCTGGGTCCACGAAACTTCTTCTGACGTCAGATAATAGAAACAACGTTGCCAGCAGGGTGTATAGAATGTGGTTCTTCATGTTCTTGCTTCGAGTACAGGAATCTATAAGAAAGAAAACTTACATAATTATCTGCTGTTTCATTCAAGTGTGAAGGTAAACGTAGATGAGTAGCTGAGCGTGGGGAAGGAATTCGTTACGTGTTGAGAAGGGATCCTCTGATTGGTAGATACGGTCCCCTTCTTTCTTACGTCTTCAATTTACTCGTAATATGAAGTAGTCTTCACGAAATCAGTAGCATATACTGGTATAAAGGTAAGGTAAAATTGTCCCTGTGCTTAACTAGCACTACGCCAGGAAGACGTATGGGTGAGTGGGTGTATAGATCCACGTATTCTTGACCTCGGTACTACTTTAAGGTGAATGGTCAGCTTCACGCTTTACCCCCGGGAAAGAATCCCCGGTATTCATTGGATAGGAAACCGGTGCTGGTCTCGACAAATTGGAGAAAAGAAGATTCTTGATATTCCTGGGACATCTCCGTCGTCCAGCCCATAGCCAGTCGCTATACCGACTACGCTATCCCAGTTCCTCTACACTGTACGTTATCGGGAGAATTTATGTCTATGTCCATATCGGTTCAGAATTACCCCTACTGAACCCGCTCCTTTAGACATGTTCAAACATCTGTTTATCATAAAACAGACTGGTGCATTACATAACACAACTATTCACTGACATGTCGGGTTTTGCGGTTTGCCATTTTGAATGACCAGACTGTGATATCTATGTCTGCTTCTTCTTACACTTCAACTGTTTTTGAAAAATTGGAGCAATATGGAGGTAAGTGTGCCTACATGTGAACGCAGTCCTATAAAAGATTTTGTTTGAATTTGGCAACAACTTCAGAACAGGTGTATAATCTCTGCACATTGAAATATTCGATATTACTCCAGGGGTCACATTAAGGATCCCCTCATGTCACTTGTAGCCCGCTGTACCTTGAATGCCCTGCCCTACTTTTTTCCTTCATTATCGGTATCCTAGCAACCAGTGTCGGTATAGCGACTGGCCATTGTCTGGACGACCGAGTGGTCGGAGTTCGAGTCCCAGTCCTCCACGTCGTCCCGACCGGTTCTTTGGCCCACCCAGCCTTCTATCCAATGGGTACAGGAGGTAAAGCGGTCGAGGGGTGAAGCTGACCACTCACCACCAACTATTACCGAGGTCAAGGAAACCTGGGTCTATACATCCACTCCTCCATTAGTCTTCCTGGTGCAGCGCTTAATTACTCAAGCACAGGGACAACTACCCAGGCAACCCTTTGATTCTGGTGAGGCCTTCAGTGTGGGAGATCTTAAAATTTGATACTGTTTGAAGCTTAAGATAACCTTTCCCTTATATGGAAATAAATGCGATAGAGATTCTTATTTTAACAGAAGGAGTAAGTTGAGCACCATCCGCACCATGACAAGAACCAGCTGAAGGAAAAGCCAGGCACATTAGTAACAGTTATTATATTGCAATTCATATAAAGTGCAATTCAATTGTTTTAAAATGTCTGTTGATGTGTACTATCTGCTGATGGCTTTAGAAGCCGAAACATGTAGAACATTGTCATACTATTAAGAGCAATAAACTCATTATACACAGCGAAATGTGAATGAGATTCTGACAGCTGTTGTGTTGAGACGGAAAGAAAACGCTCAAGATATGCAAGCTGCCTTTATTATCAAGAAGAAACTTCCTACAAAGTTCGCGAGCAAACTTCGAAATCTTCATTTTAGCAGAACACTCTCACCACTCATTGAACGTGTGAATTTATAAAACGGATTTCATCCTCAGAGGTAAGCTTACAATATAAAGGGTTTTCCCCATACTCAGTTAAGCACCGCCCCGTCATGACGCATGGAGAACTGAGATAAAACTGCATACACACTCAACATGAAACAGAATGGAAGTGAGAGGTCAACTTCGCGATAAGAACACTTTGTCTCCTGGACGAGAGACCAAAGCGCACAGCGAAATGGGGGTTGGCATGGGTTTCAGAACATTTCCGGAGACAGTGACCTCAGACTACGTCAGGAAGCAAATCCCGGCCGATCAGCCCGTAGCAAATTACTTCATTGTCAGAGCATTCCTAATTCCATAAAAATAACACACTGGTTTGTTTCAATTAAAAATATATAATTATTAAATTTGTAACGAGGAACTTTGTGTTTAATACTTATTAGAGCCTCTGTGGTGTAGTGCTCAGAATTCCTGACTACAGATCCAGAAGTCCCGGGTTCGATTCCCTGCGCTACTAGGTTTTCTGAGAAGTAGTGGGTCTGGAACGGGGTCCACTCAGTCTCGTGAGGATAACTGAGGAGCAGCTTGAATGGAAAAGTAGCGGCGTCGGTCTAGAAAACCGAGATTAACGGCCGTGGGGATTCGTTGCGCTGACCACGCGACACTCTGTAACCGCTAAAATTGGTACTAACTTCCCGACAAGCGGCGGTAGCTCGGTCGGTATAATTCGCTTGCGGACTAAAGCCACGGGGTTTATTTTGTATGTAGTCACACTGAAACTGCTAGGAGGATAATAATTAGCTCGGATAAGGAACAAGAGGGACAAATGAACGCCAAAGGACATTCCCATTGCGTTGCAGATGCAAATACACAGTTCACACTGAATAGAGTCAGTTGTTACTTTTCTATATATTCTCTTATATATATACATAGCATCAAACAATGTTTAATATTAAATTTACAGACGTTAGACTAGCGCAGTGGAGAGCTTTGCATTAGCTAACAGAAATAAATTCGAGCTACCTCGTTATGTTTTATTGTGTGAGAACTACGAACATTCCCTTAATTTCGCATACAGACCATATTTTATTTATGAAAATAAAAAAGGAACAAAACGGCATATATCTACTTTCAATTACACATTGGGAAAAGCAGTGGAATTCGGAGCGACGAAAAGCTACAAGTTGCAAAATATGAATATTTACTGTGTGATTCCGGAGCCCTTTTGTGATTTATGCAAATTGGACCCTGGTATATGCAAATCATCAACAGCCTACGTGTGATATGCGACCCATTGTAGGTAATGATGAAATGATAGATTGCTATGCAGTCTACGGTATAATTGGGCACATGTATGTTCAGTGTCTCCTATTGGCTTGGAAACCGTGTGGCAGTTCGCACTGAATCGCATTATGCCATGACTGTCAGGCCCACGTTGGCTGCAGTAGTAAAAGTCGAAGTAAAAATGAGATTGACGGTCAGTTAGTCTGTCTGTCTTGGTGTCGAGTCCCATCTGGGGCTCATGACCAGATATTTCTTCTTGTTTTAAATTTTCTGACCTGTTCATGTGGGACACCCTCTCTGATGAGAGGACATGTCTGTCATTTGTCAAAGTCATAGAATATTTAAATTCTATATTTTGTCACGAGATTATGACTAGAGACGATGTTTAGATGCATACCTGGACTTATTGTACACTTACAGTTGTACCTACAAATAACTAGGACAGTCTCACTGAGTTACACACTCCGAACAGCACACATAAAATCTTCTTAACTTCACTAACCGTTGTTTGGTTGCGGCTTCCAGCAGTGGACGTTCCCCTTCATTTGGGTTCCCGAATTGTTCCCGGCCTCAGCTACCAGCTTCTCATTTCTCACCACTGCAACTCTCTCAGAGTTACTTTACGACTGGCAGCTTACCGCCAATCAGTTCGTCTTGGCCCCAAGTCCCTTGAGACCCACGACCAGTATTTCTTTCAACTGAACACTAGCGGTTATAGACCTTACGTAACATCCTCTCTAACGAGAGGATTGATCTTTATTTACAATTGCTGCTGGTCCTCGCCAGCGCAGGCATTCTGGGGTCGGAGTTCCGCGGGACTCATGAACATATTTTACGGTCTCAGATTCGAGACTCTCCAGGATGGAGGGCCAGGTCCCCCTACTAGTATTGATATACCCCAGTAACAGGGTGGCCTAGTTATACCCCCAGGCACTGGGTTCCCTCTACGTCGCCTCCTGTGACTCGCAGGGTCCCGGAACGGATCGCACAGAAAACACCTCTTCCATTGTTATGTTCTGTCATTGCCGGGGAAACGTGTCCACAGAGCTGTTTTATTGTCGCCTGTTTACGCAGATGTTGCTTTGGCAATGTGTCTACATGTCACAATATATATCTGTTTGTCGAAATAAGTTAACATGTAAATGCAACAAATAATTAATTGAATTGCTGTTATTGTTAATCACTTTTATTACCTTCTTGTTTATAGGTAAAAGGTAAACAGGTGACGTCCCTGTGCTTAACTAATTAAACGTTATGACATGAAGGCGTATGGTGTAGTGGATGTATAGAGCCACATTTTCTTGACCTCGTCACAAGCTGGAGGTGAGTGGTCAGGTTCACGCCCCGGCCACTTTACCCCCGAGGAAATAGTCCCCGGTAACCATTGGATAGGAGGTTGGATGGACCCCAGAGCCGGTCTACACGACGTGGAGAAGAGAATATTGTTGACCCTACCGGGATTCGAACTCCGACCCGATCGTCCAGCCCGTAGCTAGTCGCATTGTTTATTGGTATTGTTTATATTTTAGTTATTGTCCTTATGCTTTTCTCTGCTGTGCAAGGTAGAAAGAGTCGTTTGTACACAGTGCCGTTTTGGAAACTGGCCCTTGTCTTTATGTTTTTGTTTACCTGTAACGTAGTTAATAGTATCCACACTGTGCTGTTTCTGTGATGGGCCTTATGTCTGTTGACTCGACACGTGAAAGATAAAGAACTGAAATGGATTGTTACTGGTCCTAAGGAAGAAGCAATATGAAGATGAAGAACTTTACACAGTGAGAAAATTAATAAGGTGTGGATTGGATTAATCTAGCTCAGGATAGGATCCAGTGCTGAGTTCTTATGAATAACGTAATGAAGTTCCCGGAAATTGTGTAGAATTTCTTGCGACTATCAGATTTTAAAGGAGGACTACGTTACAAGGAGTTTTGTTAGCTAGTCTTTATAATAAGGTGCTCGGTAACTTCCCTCGGCAGTTCACCTGTTCCGCGTAACACACGTGCGCTACCCTGATGGACTTCTCATTCAC